CTCTCTCTCTCTCTCTCTCTCTCTCTCTCTCTCTCTCTCTCTCTCTCTCTCTCTCTCTCGCGTACTCTTGCTTTCTCTGTTGTTATCCGTTATCCGTGTCGTTCCTTTCTTCCTCTCTCCATTCTGTCATTTAGATCTTGGAATGAAGTGAATCGCCTTCGGATTCCCGTCTTGCTTCGAAAATCGCATTTTGCAGCAACTCCCGAGACTCGCTAGGTGAACTCGAGTTGTTGTTGGTCGAGATCTTCTGATGCTGATGATCTTCTCGGTGATCCGTTTTCAGTCACAACACTGTCGATTTCGCCATTTTTCTTGATCTCAATGCAAGTGTTCGATGACACTTATCTTATTTGTTTCGCTTGTTTGGTGTTGTGAATGATCAACCGGCTGATCTCTACATCTTGCTTCAATCGAAGGCGAGACCTGGTGAGTTGTCCTTGATTCTCTTCGAAATGGCATTTCTTTTCCTATGTCATTCAGGGTTATCAGGGCTATCAGAAAAACGATGAAGATTGCCAAGAAGCCGATCGTGAACAGGTGATTCCACCAGGTGCTGGAAGTCCACCACCAGGTTGCCCTATAGTTACCTCTCAGCAGGCTGATTATCCGTAAAGTGATGCTCATTATTAGAATCACCATACCGATGGCCAATATGTATCTCACCGTGGTCAGCACATATTGGCAGGCCACGCGCGTTCTGCCATGCATGTCTTCTTGATGCTTGCAATGATGATCCTATGATTCGGTCGAGATCGCAGACGACATCAATCAGTTGTGACTCAATTTCGTCTTCATCGCCATTAAAGATGCACATGCGTACATAATTCGTACGCGAAACGAATCACTTAGCGAAGAAAAGGCAACTTTGCAGTTGTAGTATTCCTATTGCAACAAGAAGAGTAGCATTGGATAATTGCCATCCAAGCTATGAAGATGGATATGTGCAATTTATAAAAATAACACTCCACTTAACGAAGACAGCTTTGTAAAATGATTGTATGTACGTTCTCTCTTGTTACGTCCTTAACTTTAAAAAAAAGAAAATAAAGAAGTAGAGGAGTATCGTATTTTTCTTGATACGATACATATGATCTCACTTGGATACTTTCGTCCTCTTCGGGTTTTCACGATTATGAGCAAAAGTGTAACGCAAAAAGTCAAGTGTTTTTCGCGGAATTCAGAAGTGACGAAGTCGAGAGAGATGTATATGTGATCGGTTTTCCAGGCGGTGGAAAACTTTTACATGTGCGGGGACAAAAGTTCGCATTGTACCGAATGATAACGTAATGTGAAAGATCCGTGCGTGTACTTCGCAATCCGCTATTTCGAGCAACTGTTTCACCTGTTGTTCTTTCTTTTCATTTTCCTCTCCGTGCCGCTCCCTCATGTGCGAGAAAGGTAAAATATATATATATATCTACATGTCGTTGTGCAGCCTACATTTAAGCGTAATGCGTGCCATGCGTGTTCCTCGCAAAAGGGGCACGGTTGCATGGCAATAATTAAATGCTCTTCGTAGAACGACGCGACACGACGTCTTGCGCGCGGTGGAAGGGAAAGAAGCAGGAAGGAAAGAATACGGAGGAAAAATAAAATGTATTTATCATTATATCAGATATGATAGGCTCTGTGGATGGAAGAGTATATGGGAAGACTGGCGTCCTTCAAAAGAAAAAAGAAGGAGGTAGAGGGAAGTTCTGAGGAGACAAAGCACCTCTACGTTATTCAGGACACGCGGGTAAGATCGGGACATTAAAGTAATGTGACAGTTTTCCGTGTCATTCCCCTCCCCCCCCCCCCGAGATCCTTCGCCCCGCGTTATCCCGCCTAATGGCTTCGTGAGCAACCCTCCCCGGTATTCGACTTATGCACTTTGCGTTGCGTTCGCCATTTGCGATTCATTGCTTGCAACTCCATTTATATCCGCATGCAACATTATAACTCACACAGGATAAGCGAGGCAGAATAAGCAGCTTTTACTAAAATGTTTTCCGCGAATGCCGACACGGGCGGTGAAGAACGCCCGTGTCGGCATTCTTGACGTGAAGAACGCAAGCTTTCCGGGAGATGCGCATTGGAGTCGTCTAATACGCAACATTGATTGATATAAGTGAAGAAATCAAAGTTTAACCAAAGATACTTTTGCAGGACTGTGTTTAACTCGAGGTCGCCAGTTTATCGGATGTTCCTGAAAATCTTGCACGCGGGATTCAGGACATCATGAATCAAGGCTAGTCTTATATAAAAAAAAACAGGGCAATAGTCTGTTGTAATTATATAATTATATAGTAATAATTATATAGTAATAATTATATAATAATTATACAGAGACACACACACACACACACACACACACACACACACACACACACACACACACACACACACGATACATGCGAAAGAACAATTTTTGACGAAATGCGATTTCATTCATTAACATGTGAGACGTATTAAAATAATTAACTTTACTTTTCAAGATCACAGAAATGATAGTACTCAAACATCGCGATATTTAATTTGAAAGATATCGAACGAAGGCGACTTGGCATTTTTCACGCGTAATGTTTGCTGATTGAGAAATTACACGCGCAAACACACATATACATACATATACATACGTACACACTTACGCTCATATTCATGCAATTAAGAGGAAATTGCCATGACGTTATTCGCTTATTATATCATAAAAAGAAATAGTATATTATAAATTATCGACTAGCTTAGCACCACTGTCAACGCCAATCGCTGGACGGATAATTGCAATTATTTTTATCTGACTGAAATTCGACCTATATATTAATCATATTTTCGCAAATAGAGAATATCAACTAAAATATATATGTATATCGAAGTCAAAACTTTCGCGAATACAAAAAGCATTATAGCGTGGAAAATTTGCTGCTTAATCCGCATGGGAATTCCGCCTTTCCATGCCCTTTAGTTCCAATCAACGTCATCTCACTCACACTCTTCTTCGTATTTCATCCATGTCATTTCTTCATACGCCATATTCCTTGATATTTAACGAAAATGGATCCCAAAAATACTGCAGTCGAAAAATGTGAAAAAGTCTAAAAGAATAAAAGCTAAACTCTTACGCGCGTTTTTACACGAAATTCGTGATCGCGTCTTTCGCGTTATCCTCATCGTGTGTTATTCCTTTCTTCCTTTGTTCAATTTTCTAAATAAATCTTCAAACTCGTGAACCTGTTGCGAGTTCCCGTTTTACTTCCAGTATTGCGCATTCTGCAGCAACTCTCGGGTCTCATTGGGCTGAAAAAATTGATGATCGAGACTTCGACGTGACTGATGACCTCCTCTTTGGTGATCCAGGTACAACGCTTGAATTTCGTCATTCTCCCTAATCTCAAGGCAAATATCCAATGACATTTATCCCATCTGCTTCGCCCATTTGGTGCAGTGAATGGACAACCGACTGATCTTCACGTCTCGCTTCAATCGGTGGCTGGATCGGAACTTGATCATGAATTGCCCCTAAATTCCTTTCGCATAGCATTTTTCTTACGCGTATCAGAACCACTAGGAAGACGCCAGTGAAGATTGCCAAGAGACCGATTATGATCAAAATGTACCACCAGCCGTCGGATTTCTCTAGCACCAGGCTCATTATCTGCAGCAAGAGTAACAGCATCAGGAGCGTTATACCGATGATCAAGATGATCATCAACGTGATCAGCATAGATATGCAGGCCACGCGTGTTACATTATGCATGATGCCGGCTGTCCGTGATGCCTCAGGTATCGTGATGGTCCAGTAATTCGGCCGAGATCGTAGACGACGTCAACTCGCTTTCATCCGATTTCGATTTTATCAGCAGAAAAAACTTCGCAATTATTCCTATTCCCAGAATGAAGCAGAGAAAATCACTTAATCGCCATCTATAAAGATGGGATATCTTGCGAGTGCACAATCCATAAAATAAAACACTCCACTTAACGAAGACAGCTTTATAAAATCATACTCTTTTTCGTTACATCCATAACGTCTTTAAATAAGAAAATAGTGAAGCGTAGCAAAACTTCGCATAGTATCTTGAATGGATACTTCGGAAGATCCGTGCGTGTACCTCGCAATATCGATACTTCGACCAACTGTTTCACCCTTTCTTTCTTTTTCTTCATTCCTCCTCTACGAATCGCTCCCTCACGCGTAAAAGTGTGTGAGAAAGGATTATGAATAAGAGAACTATATTTATGTGTCGTTCTATATTTAAGCCTGATATGTCATGCGCATTCCTTGCAAAAGGACACGTCGCATGGCATGTAATACTCTTCATAGAACGGCACGACTCGACGCGACGAGGTAGAAGGGCGAAAGAGAGGAGGGAAAGAAACGCGAGAAGGAAAAAATGTATTTATCGTTATGCAGATATAGTAGGCTCTGTGAGATAAACACGAAAGCACGATGCATTTGCAGCAACTTTCAAGTTTCGCTAGGCGAACTCAGTCAAAAGCTATTGGTGGTCAAGGTCTTGACGCTGTTGTTGATGATATCCTCCTCCCGACGATCTGTTACAGGTCGCAACATCTGAATAGATTTCGCCTATTTTTTCCTTGATCTCAAGGCAAGTGTCCAACGACATTGGACACATCATTTGCTTCGCCCTGCGTTTGCTCTGATGAGTGATCAAGCCGCCGTTCTCCACGTTTTGCTCCAATCCGTTGGATCGGGATCTGGCGAGTTGCCTTTGAATATAATCTTCGAGGTAGCACACCTTTGACCGCGCCATTTAGAGCCGTCAAAAAGACGCCGGCGAGGAATGTCAAGAGACCGATCGTGAACAGGTTGTTCCACCAGACGCGGGTTGACCTGTGGTCGCCTCGCAGCAGACCACTCACTATTAGAATGACGCCTAGCATCAGAAGCACCACACTGACGATCGACATGACCGCCATCATGATTGGCACACACTGACCGATCACGCGCGCCCTGCTATGCATGTCCTCGTGGGATCTGCCGTGATGATCCTGCAATTCGGTCGAGATCGTAAACGACGTCAGTCCGCTTTCATCAAATTTCGACTTTATCGCCATTAGAGATGTATACGTAACTCATCATACGCGAAACGAATCATTTAGCGAAGAAAAGGCGACTTCGCTTCCAAGTTATTCCAAGGACGAAGCGTAGGATAGTTATTTAATTGCCTTCCGAGCTATGAAGATGGATATCGCGAATGCGCAAACCGTAAAGTGAAATACTCCATTTAATGAGGACGGTGTTGTAAAATGATATCCTCTCTTGTTACGTCCACAACTTCAAAAAAGAAACATGAAGAAATAGCGAAGCGTAGCTTTTTTTTTACGTGATACGATGTCAGATTTAGACACTTTCGTTTCTTTCGAGTAGTCATGGATAGAAGTATAATGCAGGAAATCAAGCCGAAACTCAGAAACGAAAAGAGATGACGAAGTCATTAAGATGTGTACAAGCTCGACATCAGATGGAAAACTTTTATACGTATGGAAACAAAATTTCGCAGTGTACCGAATGAAACTACGGACCCGTGCGTGTATCTCGCAATCCGATACTTCGAGCAACTGTTCTTCTTTTTTTTCTTTCTCCTCTTCGAGCCCCCTTCCTTCACGTGTAAAAGTGCGTGAGAAAGACATATTATGGATAAATGTCTACATTTATGCGTGATGTGCTACGTACACTCCTCGCAAAAGGCAAACATCGCATGACAATAATTAAATACTCTTCGTAGAATTACACGACGCAATGATGCGACGCCTTGTCCCTACGCGCGAGGTGGAAGGGAGAGAGGGGAGGGAGGGAAAGAATACGAGTTGGAAAAAAATATATTTATCATTATGCAGACATGGTAGGCTCCGTGGAGTAACGAGAGTAAAAGATAAAGCGTAAAGACACGAATAATACTAATATTTCTACGTGAGGTTGACAGAAAAATAAATGGAAAGTCTGGTACGCGTCCTTCAAGTTCAGAAGGAGCAGAAGGGGTTGTGGAGGGAAGTTTTGAGGAAACAAAGTACTCTATCATTATTTGACACGCGAATAGAACCCGGATAAGTAGAACATTAAAGATAGAACATTAAAGTAATGGAAAGACAACAATTTTCCGTATCGATTCTCCGAGATCATCCTTCGCCCTGGGCTATTTCGTGATAGCTTCGTGACAATATTTGTCCGGCACACTTTACTTTGCGTTCGCCATTCGCGATTCATCTCTTGCCGACTTCATTTACATTTGCAAGTGCATGTCGCGACATTATAATTCATAGAATCAGTGGATCGCGCGCGATTTTTGCCAAAACGTTTTCCGCGGACGTCCACGTGTGCGGTTCTCGACGTGAAAAACATGACACAAGATTGCCAATGCACATAACATTGAGTCTCATACACGACATTCCAGCGTCAATTTTGCGTCAAAATTCACTCTTAAAAATATGATTGAAAGATGGAATTCTGAATGAAAACTCATTCTCGTGCGTTTTCTTCGTGTTATTCGCATATCATGTCGTCTCTCTCTCTCTCTCTCTCTCTCTCTCTCTCTCTCTCTCTCTCTCTCTCTCTCTCTCTCTCTCTCTCTCTCTCTCTCTCTCTTCCTCTCTCGATTTTGCCGTCTAGGAGGACTTCGAATGAACTATTGAATTTGCTACGAATTCCCGTTTTGCTTCGAGAATCATATTTTGCGATAACTTCCGGGTCTCGCCGTGCTGAAACTGTTGATGGTTGAGATCTTGACGTGGTCGCTGATGATCTCCTCGATGATCCGTTCCAGATACAACGCCTGAACGGTCAATCTCGTCATTCTCAAAGAGAATGACACTCCGTCCAATGACACTCGCTTCATCTACTTCGCTCGTTTGGCGCGGTGAACGGTCAACTCGCTGGTCTCCACCTCTTACTCCATTCGGTGGCTGAATCGGGACATGGCGAGTTGTTCCTGAACACATGCTTCGAGGTAGCATTGCTCTGATTATGCCATTCAGGCCCAACAGGAAGACGCCGGTGAGGATTGCCAAGAGGCCGATTATGAATAGATCATTCCACCAGACGCGGATTGCCTTGTCGTCTTCTCGTATCAGACCTCTTACCAGCAGAATGACACCCAGCACCATCAGCATCATACCAACAATCAAGATGACCATCATCATGATCATTACACGCTTGACCAGGCGCGTTTCGCCATGACTGCCTTCATAATGCCTGCCGTGATCCAATGATTCGGTCGAGATCGTAGACCATGTCAACCCGCTTTCACGCGATTTCGACTTCATTGCCATTAGAGATGTAAATACGCATTCATAATTCATACGCGAAGAAAAGACAACTTCGCAATTATTTCTGTTTCCAGATGAAGTGAGTAGGATAGTCGTTTAATCGTCAGCCGAGCTGGAAATGAATATTGCGAATATTGCAATCCATAAGTGAAACACTTTTGTAAAAAAAAATTATATATCTTTTTTATTTTTTTCGCTAATTTTTTAGTTTTTAAAGTTATGGGACCAAAGGGGAGAGAAATATATACACATAATAAGAAATGTACACACACACACACACACACACACACACACACACACACAC